AAGCACTATGTAACAGACATTTTTGTTTGTAAGAGCGCTAATTTATTTTAGCTGAAACATTTGGATTTTCACAGTACCTACATAAACTGAAGTCTCGAGTTATATTAGTAGGTAACAAATGATTTGAATTTATTTGCGTTGGCTTCGGAAGATTTACTTATACAGAAAGGCCTTTTGCTTAAATATTGTAAACGAAATTAAAATCCGAACTTCAACAAAGAATCATTTGTGCATAATTATCAGCAATTTATTTGATATCTCTTTTATGGATTATACTAATTGGTTAGTTAGAGCCTTTCAAATCTAGGTTTCTTCCTACTTGCAAGTGAATCTTGACTAGCCAATAGTTGTAATATGAACTGTAACTTGGCAGGATTCTTTTTAAATAACAGTGTTTTTAATCTGTCAGAACTTTTGAATCAAGAGGTAAAGGGCATTATCATTCTAAAAGTAAAATTAATATTTTTATAATGGGAACGTGTTGTCAGTAATATTCACAGGAAGGGCCATGATTGATTCGAATGTGCGTTTGGTGCAATAATCTAGAAAGATTCCTTATCTACTGATACCTCCACAATTCGCCCCTCATTATTTTGTGATTATTTATTTTATTTTGTGATTATTTATGGTACTCTCAACAAATCCAGACAATTTCAGACTACAGGTGCGTTCCTCATTTCGTTTTCTTGCTCCCCAAATTAAGGAGTCAATAATTTTGACAAGTCCCATTTACAGGCCACAAAATGAAAAGGTTAAATTCATTTGAAAGATAATACTAATTTAGAACTTCCCTCAAAACAAAAGGGCTTGAAAATGTGTTTTTGTGGGAAATTAACGATCCTTAGTTGTCGGATGGAATTTAGCAATCGTGGTCGTTCAGTTGAATAGTCTGATATTCAGAACCTTGTACCGAAAGGTCGTACTTTTTGTGCTGCGCAATGATTCAATCACTTTAATTTTGGCCTTTAAAAGAAGTGGGTAATTGATGTAGACAAAAATTGCTCTTGTAACCTTTACAGCTCATGTAATATGTTATTACCAAAGAAAAAAAGAAGTCAGTCACTCAATAGCGTCTGACAGCTAAATCTAGAAAGTAAACGGCTTCTTTGCCTAATTTGAATACTAGAACACTGCTAACATTTTTACAGATAGGACATACATAACATATTCATAATTCCAGCAAAGTTCTACAGAATTTAATGTTGGCTGCAAAAAGGAAACACTACCTTTGAAAATACTGTATATAACCTGTTAGCGTGGAACATTTCGTCATGTACAAAATATTTTTAACTCAATCGAGCCACAGGTTTAAGTGAGCTATTGCTTTCGCTTTTTGTCCGTCGTCCGTAAATTACACTTCTTCTCAAAACACATTGCCGGATTTTAACCAGACTTTGTAGGAATCGTCCTTAGCCAAGGGGTCTACATTTGTTCAAATGTGGTACGAACCCCCTAGGGGAGAGGCCTGGGGCAGCGCCCAAAAGTTCGTCAGTCGCAGTAATTGCACATTTTCTTCTCCTTCTTGAAAACCCATGGCTGCATGATTCTTACCAAAATTTGTAGGAATCACCTGCAGGAAAGGGAGATCTAAAGTTGTTCAAATTGGATGTATGCCTCCCAAAGGTGCCTCTATGGAAATAATTATATGTTTAAAAAAACAGGCCATCGTCGGGTGTATTGTTGAGGTGCAGTAAAAATATGCGTTCAATGTAAAATTAACTGCATGCGAGTAAATCAGCTACTGTTTTAACGGAGCTGGGTCTTGTGTACCTCTTGCTTCAAGCTGTTAACAGAGGTACAATTAACGGTGTAGTTCGAGAGTCCTATCGCATCATGGAAGAAGCTCCTCTGGTAGACCAGCGTTCATGCATAAGGAACTTTGATCCTTTGAAAATGCATTCTCTGCAGAGAAGTAGATGGAGTGAGGAATATGTTTGGAAAGTTCATCAGTGAGTTGGTGATGAGATAGATCATCACCAATTGAGCTTTTGCCCCAGGTTCTTGTAATGTTGGCCACTTGAGGTGGTTCAGCTTCACTTTTATTAATTAACTGCTTGTTCTGCGCTGGACATTGAAGATGAAGCACACATATCGCTGTTGAACCATTTCAAGCTTCTAGATGTTTGCTTGCGTGTGAGAGTGTCATATGATTTTCATTTTCGACTTCTTCTCAAATATGCAAGGCCAGAATTTAACCAAGCTTGGTAGGGATCATCCTTTGGCAAGGATGATCTAAAATTGTTCAACATATGGAAACGTTTGCTTGTATTTTTCTCATAAAAGAATTTGACCACAAACTGACTCTCACACGGTGTTGAGTGCTCAGGGGTCACAGGCCACTGGCTTCATCGGGCAGGTAGTTCCATTATATGAATGGGTAAATTAACTATTACAAAATGAGGGGACACATCACATTGTACAATAGGGACACACATTGTTTTTATTGTGCAGAACATACTCTTTTATTGACTTACTTATTGCATACAACTATAAAACCAAAATGCATTTTGTATTCTAACAATTGGAGTACAAAGAATAATAACAGGTGAATGAAATGCATTAAAAATCACAAACACCTGGGGAGGAAGCATTCATAAATTTAAATACATATAGTTGATAAACGACTCCGATGAAACTATAAAACCATGGACCCTAAAGAGAGTCTTACTTTGATCACATCATGACCACCGCCACCTGAAAATATGTATGTTGATTAGGACATTCATTTGACGCGACAATGTTGATTATGTAATCACGCATCATCACAGACAAAGGGACCTTTTACATTTCTTCAGATTATTTTCGCTGGGCCAGGGCCCGGAGGGTAGTTTTCAGGAAAACTATCGTAATTTAAGACCAGTTAGGGGAGCAGTGAACCCCAAAATATGACAATTTGTGTGATTTTAGATTGATTATTAAAGAAGAGGACACTGGTGGACATACATCTGGACCTGCCAAACTTTGAAACAAACATAGTCTGTACTGTCCTATTACCTTCTATTCCTTGGAAACTGATAGGATTAGTTTTAAAAAGAAGTTTAAAATCATTGTGTTATAGCCAAATTTACAGGTTTCACTTGTAAACTACTTCTAATTTTCTGTTAAAAACTTCATACACGTTAATATTCATATTTATGCCACAACTGCACATGCATTTCCTTGATTTTAAGCGATTCAGTTTCTTTTGCGCAGGGGTTTTGTAGATTCTTCAAGTCACAGTTCTGTCTTTTTTATGGCTGACTGGCGGCGGTCGTGATGAGATCAAAGCTTGGAAGTATGTTCGGGATGTCATTATGATACTTTTGACAGAGTCAGGTGCATGAATATATTATGGTACCGTTCAGTGTCCATTTGTAGTAGGTCCATGATAAAACCAAAATGAAATTTGCGTTCTGGTAATTGGAGTACAAAGAATGATAGCAGGTGAATAAAAATGCTTTAACAGCAACACAAACACCTGGGAAGCTAGGAAGCATCCATAAATTTGAATAATTTAATTGATAAACGACTCCGCATGTGAATGTTTGTTTGAGCAGAAAGCAGTGGATTCCTAATTTACAACTCGAACCCATTTAACAGAATGTCGGAACGTAAATTAAATTTGGCCCGGTTGGAAATGCATCTTTCTACCCTGCGACTTTAATGGTACGATCCAGTAAATTAAAACAGTAAAATGGCTCTTATTTTAAAATTACTCATTAAATAAAACCCAAAACTTCAGTGATATCAGAAAAAATATGTTATATAATACTAATAATTTAAAAAGATATATAAACATTGTGAAAGTGTCGCATTTTACGATAAAAGACACCGATTTAGCGAAGATGACGTCATTAGTGCGCTTGCATCAGGGAATTCAAGGTCAATTCAGACGCTGATAAATTATTGGTCGAGCCTTTTTGTTTCCTTTATTCCGACATAATTATACAATCAATCAAAACAAGTTTAATGCCAAAAGAAAGCTAACGATTAGTATTTTCATTAACCGCTTGCCCCAAAGTCGCTTGACCAAAGTGAAACGAGTGAGAGCTTGCGAGAACGGCCAAAGTGTGATTGAAACTCGCTATTTGTTATTCTTCAACGCAAAAAGAGTCGACATTGTGCTGGATAAATGTATTTTTTCCGACGAAAGTACAGACAAATTGCATATGGTCTTTTTATATAGTACTTTATGAAATGTTACCCGAGTGACTTCCGGGCGCCCCAATGCTGGAAAGAAATGCACATTTTAGAAAACTTCACTTTTTCATGGAAAAATGCTTATTTGTTCTATGCACGCAATTCAAATTGAGCGGATGATACAACGTTTCCATATGTGATGGTACATAGATTAACATACAAGGGGGCCTATGGGCAGTGCCCCAAAGTTCCTATTAAAGTGGCAGTATATTTGGACATTTTTGTTTTTCTTCTTGAAAACCCATTGCCGGATTCTATTCAAAATTTGTAAGGTTTGCGTGCAAGAAAGGGAGATCTAAGGTTGTTCAAATTGGGGTCAGTTTTCAATATCCACCATCCGAACAGTGAGCGTGGCAAACTTTAAAATCAATGCATGTGTAAATCTTGAAAACTGTCGGTTACCTTCATTTTATATTTCATATTCTGAGAGATCACGAAGTGTAAATATTATATCACACTAAAATGAAGGTAAAGATTCTGGCTTAATATTGTACGAATCGTTTTTATGCGAAAAAGACCTAATTTTTTTAATTGGATACCTGCGTTCTGGTTCCTGGTGCAAAAGGGGTTGGAGCTAGGTTCCTTTTTGCGAGCTAGGACCCTACTTTTATCGGCTCAGGTGAGCGTAAGGTACGCTGACCTTTTGTGATTTTCCTTGACACCGATTTTCCTCATCACTGCGCTCTTCAGAAAGCATCCGAAAAATATCTTCATGAAATGATGCATTTAATGATTTTGGTGCAATTTAAGCTCTCCTACCCTGGTTCTCTTCACTCTCGTGCGTCACATTTAAACCCACTCTAGGTCACCTCACGATGGCTATGGAAGTGGGAACGAGGGTGGTTCGAGGTCCTGACTGGAGATGGTCAGACCAGGATAATGGCGAAGGACACCTCGGCACCGTGGTTACCATAGGAAAGAGGTTCTCGAACCCAGCACATCCGAAGATCGTGGTGGTCTGCTGGGACATGGGCAACGTTAATGACTACCAGGCCGGCTTTGATGAGAACTACGATCTGCTCATCTACGACAACGCCGCCGCAGGTGAGACGGTTATGACTCAATCGCAAAGGATAACAAAAGAAATCAACCTAAGGCCATTTCAATAGCCTCATTCATGACCTATCGAAAATATGCGAAAAATACGATGACGTTTTAAGGAACACGAAAATATAATTTTATATGGGATACAACATAAACGTAGGTTTTTGAAACTTTTACAGTGAGACCACAATGCATTGTTTGACTGGTTGGAATCATGGGCGTCAATCCTGGGGGGGACGGGGGGACACGTCCCCCCACGAATTTTCAGGTGGCGAAATGTCCCCCCCATGATTCGGGGTTAAAATCTTCTTCTTTTTTTTTTTTCTTCCTCTCTTTCTCTCTGTGTTGAGAAAAATCAAGCCAAATCAGGCGATCAGATTTTATTAATAGAACTAGAAGCGTCATTAATATTACATTCACATTACCGGAAGTTCAAACATTGGTTTACGATGAAAATCCTTTCACCAACTGAAAAAAAAATCAAATTAATCCCTTGTATCTTCCAAACTTTATGGCTGATTGTTCAATGGAAACGACAAATTCATCTATTTATCCCCCCCCCCCCCCCCCCCCCCCGTTGCGTTCTTGTTCATGTTAGTTGAACTTAGTTTTCTTTTTTAATTGGGCAAAAATTAAGCCCAAAATCAAGCCATCTATCCATCAATTTCAAAAAAAATCTTCAACTTCTGAGGGGGCCACACCCCCTGCGTTTTACTGTTTTCTTTTTAATTTGGCAAAAAGTATGCACCAAATCGAGCCATCTATCCATCAATTTCAAAAAAATCTTCGACTTCTGAGAGGGGCACATCCCCCTCAGACACCCCCTGCGTTCTACTGTTTTCTTTTTAATTTGGAAAAAAGTATGCCCCAAATCAAGCCATCTATCCATCAATTTAAACAAAAATCTTCAACTTCTAAGGGGGGACACCCCCCTCAGACACCCCCTGCGTTCTTGTTCCTTGTTAGTTGAACTTAAGATTGTTTTCTTTTTATATTTGGCAAAAAGTATGGCCCAAATCAAGCCATCTATCCATCAATTTAAAAAAAAATCTTCAACTTCTGAGGGGGCCACACCCCCTGCGTTTTACTGTTTTCTTTTTAATTTGGCAAAAAGTATGCACCAAATCGAGCCATCTATCCATCAATTTCAAAAAAATCTTCAACTTCTGAGGGGGGCACTTCCCCCCTCAGACACCCCCTGCGTTCTTGTTCCTTGTTAGTTGAGCTTAAGATAGTTTTCTTTTTACATTTGGCAAAAAGTATGGCCCAAATCAAGCCATCTATCCATCAATTTAAAAAAAAATCTTCAACTTCTGAGAGGGGCACATCCCCCTCAGACACCCCCTGCGTTCTACTGTTTTCTTTTTAATTTGGAAAAAAGTATGCCCCAAATCAAGCCCTCTATCCATCAATTTAAACAAAAATCTTCAACTTCTAAGGGGGGACACCCCACCCCCCTCAGACACCCCCTGCGTTCTACTGTTTTCTTTTTAATTTGGCAAAAAGTATGCACCAATTCGAGCCACCTATTCATCAATTTCAAAAAATCTTCAACTTCTGAGGGGGGCACATCCCCCCTCAGACACCCCCTGCGTTCTACTATTTTTTTCTTCTAATTTGGCAAAAAGAATGCACCAAATTGAGCCATTTATGCATCAATTAAAACAAAAGTATTCAACTTCTGAGAGGGCACGTCCCCTCAGACACACCCCCCCCCCCCCTGCGTGGCGCGCCCATTCGACCCCCCCTTACAAAATAACCTGGCGCCGCCCTGTCTGAACTTGTGTCCCCCCCACGGTCTGATTTGGATTGACGCCCATGGTTGGAATGTTCCCTTTTTGTATACAGGAATGCCAATTTACAAGGCTACTGATAAGTGCAGGAAGTAATCCATTCGTCTTCATTTGTTGTCTCTTTCCTCTTCTCCCTTGCAATTTTCTCTTTCCTCGCTGTTTTGTTACCATATTTTTTTAATTTTTTTTTTATATGTAATTATGACCAGTGCCCCGTCTTAAAAAGAGTTGATATCAATCCCAAATATGTACAAAAGAAATAGGAGACTGCAAACTTCCGATTGGAGGACTTGAGATTGATTTGGATTAATCACAACTCTTTGGAAGGCGGGGCCCAGTTTTTTAAATATATTTCCTCTCCTTTTTATCCTCAGGTGTGAAGCATAATGGTGTAATGTGCGGTGAATGCAAGGAGGATGATATTGCCGGAATGAGATGGAAGTGCAGCTCGTGCCAGGACTATGACCTTTGTAACAAATGCTACATGACATCCAAGCACGACCTGAAGCACTCTTTTCTCCGAATCATCATCCCCAAGTCTGCAGGGTAGGATCCTTCTTCTACAATACCTCAGTCAAATCACCTGAATCCAAACTGCCTGATTCCTGGCCGTTATTCCCCAGTCACACTGAAAAGACCAATACCAAACAGATAGGATAACCGATTGAGCAATTACATCATCCCCATGATTTGGAGTCAGTTTGGCGGTGTGACTAAGGTATGATATACCTGAGTCATATTGCCGACTTCAAAACAACCAAGTTTTGGCCATTATACCTCATTCATGCCAACAAAAACGACACAAGACTGACAACAGACCAAGGAAACAATCAGTCATATCCACAAACTGGTTCAAGACCAACTCCAAACCAACATATTTGGGGTGGTGTTATTTTTTTTGCTCGGTTTGTAGTCGTTCTGGTGTCAGTCGTGTTGTTGTTACCCACAATGTCCAAAAAATGGTCGTTTTGCAATGGACTCGGTTTGGAGTTGGTTTATCAGTGGGACTCGAATATAAAGGGTAATGTAATGTTCTGTTCGGCATGTCGTCGGTCTGGTGACGGTCTTGTCAGACTGACTTGGTAAAAGGTCTCCATAGCATAGTCTTGCTTGCTTTAAAAAAAACTAATACAAAACTTGAGCTGCAAAGAGAACCCTGACTATATGGCATTTGATTTTGTTTTGTGTTGCTAAAAGAGAATTTTAGGACACTTATCCAATGAATCCGATGAATAATGACATATTTATTCAATCCATGGAAGGAGTACAAAATTTACGACTTTCGCAACAGAGTGTTCAACAAAAAAATTGTTGTGAAACCGAGTGATTCTTTGATGAAATGTCGAGAGATTTCTGTCAGTAGTGTGATACTACATTCTTTTTAGAGTGTATAAGATTATATTTTGATTGGTTGCTTCATTGGTATAGAAAGCTGATGTCACCTAGAGCAGCTTGTCGGAAGACTGAAGCAAAGGGATCGTTTCCTGGAGCCAAGGTTTGCAGAGGAAGAGACTGGAAGTGGCAGGAGCAGGACGGTAAGCTTATCCCTCTTTAGCCACAGATTATGACTCGGTAAACCGAGGTGGGTTTTTTAAGATGACGTAGATGTAATGGGCTTCATATTTCTGTATCTTATAACACAGAGCTCACTGCAGACGCAAAGGAACTTTGTTGCGCCTAGTTGTCATTCATTTACACATTATACAAATAGCGCCGCGGTTTACCGCTTCATATCTGGACTTCCCTTAACATTCCCATATTTTTTCCCATTATCATAAACCCATTTCAGTGTGCAGAACATGTGATTTTCAGCAAGATTGTGTTACTTTCTTTTCAGTTTGATCATTCCAAAAGCTGACAGTACACATCATTTCCTATATATACTGTTTCACATGTCACTTGCTTTTGGACAATTCCTAAACTCTTCCTCCAGAAAGCTCTTGTTTGAACGGGCGCAAATCTTTTTTTCATGCAATACCCATTTGTTACCGTCTCTAATCTTCTTAAACTGATGATTTGATTTGTAAAGTTGCGTATACAGGGTCACATGCTGGAAAAGATTTTTCCAGTTTTGAAATAATGAATGGACATTTTTTTAAAAGGTGAATAAGCTTGAAAATGTCCTGTACAATCAGTGATAATTATTTGTGTAAAAATAGTAATACATAGACCTACAATAGTCTGTACATGATCTCAAAAAGACTTTATTTATATGGGTATCTTGAAGCATCCCTTATTCTGCATAACGTTATGCATTATATTTATTTTGGGTTAAATAATAATTGCTACAGGTGGGTCAGGTCATACTGGCGTGGTATTTCGAGAGGCCAATTGGGCCAATATCCAGCGCAGTGCCATAGCAGTTCATTGGGAAGTTGGGGGCGCCTATGAATACCGTGTGGGGCATGATGGGAAGGTCGACATCAAGTGCCTCAAGGCAACATCCGGGTACGCTTACTACAAGGACCATCTGCCAAAATTCGGTAAGTTAAACTATGTAAATTACATGCCAGGGAATCTTTATAAATTGTAAAAGTTGAATGTTCATCATCTTTAATGTCTACATATAATAGAGAGCATGAAATATATGTTATCTTTTGATTGTCTCCACAAATTAAGTTGTGCGGTTTAAACATTTCCCATTGGTGCTTGCATAGATGCATGTCTTCCTTAACTGCATGCAGACATAGCCGGCTTTGAGCATACAATAACCTGTATGAATTGTCCTGATTTGGAGGTATTATGACAATTAACATTGTTTTACTTACATAAAAGAAAATAAAGAGTTCACTCAACAAAATTAACATTTTGAGGGCCAGTAGAGAATTATACGAAACCAGATGAAGGAAAAAGCATCAAGGACTGAAACTTGAAGACTGTCTGCTGCCCCTAGCCCTTAAAACTCTGGTAAATGTATAATGGGGATTGATTTTATTTTGTTAAAGCGACACCATGAGGTCGTGGGTTCAAACCCCGGCCGTGTTATACCAAAAGACGTTAAAAGACGGGAGTTGTTGCTACCTTGTTTGGCGTTCGACAATAAAGGATAGAGCAACATCAATCTGGCACTGCTCAGTGGCTGCCGGGCTCACGATCAATTGGGCAAAAATAATTGCCATTTGTGGTTTAAATTAATAAAATTTGGAGTGGACTCTAAAAAGATTATTATTATTTTATTATTATTATTATTATTATTATAAACTGACTAGCTAGTACAGTGTGCAAGGCTTTAAAAATATTGCGTTCGTGTTGAGATTGCTTATGGTGAAAAAGTGTGTATGGCATAGACATAGACTATGGTAATGATTACCAAATGGACCTAAAGCAGTCGGCCGTCTGGTTGCTTAGTAACAAGCATTTATGCTTTCTTAGCAGTCGGGTAAAATAACCACCACCACCAAATAGAAACAGGTAGAAATTTAGAGAACAGAAAGAGAGATAGAAATAGAGTGAGAGAGAGAGAGAGAGAGGGAGGGGAAAAAAAGGTGAGAAGTGTAGGGGTAACTTATTGCTATCATAAACACATTATATAGAAGGAGAAAATGGAGATTGAGATAAAATTGGGACTATATTAAGCTAACCTGTTAGTAAATTACAGGGAGTTTGAAGATAAAAGTAGAAGATATATAATAACTTTAAATACTTCTTTAAAAAAAACACATCTTCTTCATTGTAGCGTCATTTCTTTATTACAGGTGAATTCAACGCATTAGAAATTGGTGACCGAGTGGTTGTGAAGTTGGATAAGGATGTTCTCAAGCCGCTCCAAGAAAACCATGGAGGCTGGGTGTCGGGAATGGAAAAGGTATGATTGTTCTTCTATAAAAAGATATATCACTTGCTATTTTATTTGACCAAGGAGATTTCAAACGAGGCGTCACTTTCGATTGCGTTATTAATTGCCCTAGTAATGCCCACGAAAGCAATATGAACTCATTAGCCAGTAATGTAACGCAGTATTTGAGCTGTCCATTTTGCAATATTCTTTTTTGAATATCTCGTTCAAAGATCACTTGAGTACCTGGCGTAGTCTTGCATCAGCAAATGGCGCCTCGGTGCAACTGACATAGGGAAAGAAGTTTAAAATTCTACTCTCTCTCTCTATTACTATGGCTTTTATGGTTAGATCCTCTTGCTATAATTATCCAGTTCTCTCTTCGCGTTTGTACCCTATCTTTTTCATCCTGTCCCAGCACTCCTTCTTTTTCGGCCTTTCTGTTACTTCCAAATTCTAGTGTCCTCGTGAAGTTTTAATGCACCAGTGCAATCATTCATTCGTTCTCAAATTGTAGTATTTCTTAATGATGATTCACTGATATTTTCGTCATTATATTTATACTTGCTTTGTTTTGTAAAGTTTTTAAATTAAATAGTAAACAAGTAATAAGTAGAATAAGGCATTAAGAATCTTTACTCCTTTTTGGAAGCGTTGAGTCTGTAGGACGTATTAGTTAATGTAATACATTTATTTACGACCGTAACCATGGTATAATATAAATATTGATGACAACTGAAAAACAGCATTTGACTTTAATTAGAACAAGGAAATCTTGAGTTCAGAGCCATGAGAGTGTTGACTCTGTGTTGAAGTAAATGGCTTTCTGGCTACAGTTAAACAGACAATGTTCATTTTACAATTGACTTTCTTTCAGACCGTCCCATTATCATACACTCGTAAATCATACTGAATCAAACCATTATGTGTTCTTGCTTTCTCTCTCATTCTCTCCTTATTTTCCTAGTTCATAGGAAAAGTAGGCCGGTTGGCGAGTCTCACGGCAAACAGTGACGTCAGGATCAAGTACCCGAATGGACAGATGTTGATCTTTAACACTGTTGCAGTCACTAAGGTACATACTTGGTCTTTTAAATCTCTTGTACCTGAAAACTTGAAAACAGTTAATTCCAATTAAATGGTGAATTATTTTGATTGCGTTATACTAGTAGAAGTACTAGTAACAGTAGTAGTAGTAGTAGTAGTAGTAGTAGTAGTAGTAGTAGTAGTAGTATTAGTAGTACTAGTAGTAGCAGTAGTAGTAGAAGTATTAGTAGCAGTAGTACAAGTAGAAGCAGTAATATTATTGTAATTTATTGTTAATGTTGTTACTTTACAATTTTCGTTTTTGTTCTTATTAAAGCTGCCTTCGTTCAACACCGGAGACAAAGTGCGCGTAATGTCTGACCAGGCTGCCGTGAAGGAGCTGCAGAAAGAACATGGGGGATGGAACAGTAAGATGTCAAAGGTCAGATATTACTGTACAAATAACTAATTGTTTATTAAGTAATGACCAATTTGTAATGTACACAGTAAATTAAAACAATGAACTTGTTCAGCACTCATTGAAAATTTTACTTGGTATATGTCTAGAATTAGGTAGCTTTGAGAAACCAATTAAGCTTTAGATGGTTTGTTGTTACTTTTCAAACCCTGTGCCTGAAATTGGAGTTACCCATTTGTTACTGAACGAGATGGAGCGATATTAAAGACAAAGTCCTGAAGAACCCTTTATGTGTTTGATTATGTAATCATAGGTAAATCAAGTATGTGGATTTGTGCATTCATTTGTAGTTTCCGAAAGCGTTCCTTTTAAAATGATGTCTATCATATTGATCTTCATCTTTATTTAGTATGGAATACATGATCATAGGCAAATTATTTAATCTAGTTTTGAGCACATCCAACTATTCTGAGGCTTATAAATATACATTTTATGATTTTTCTTCATTTATACCGGACATTGTTATATTATCTAATTCAAAAATTTGTTAAGCGATATGTTACTGTGCATTTTCGAATTCTTCAAATGTTCATTATATTTTGGGAATACATTCATTGACTTGGTACTCGTAAGCTGCCTATGTATGTTTATTTTTTAAATGAAGCTGATCAAAGTAAACACAATTAAATTTTAAATGACTCAAATCCAGGCTCTTGGTGAGGAAGGGCGTGTCCTTAACATCAATGCAGACGGTGATGTCAAGGTCAATGTGGGTGGAGCATTCTGGACCTTTAACCCGGAAGCACTAAGTATGGTAGAACAGGGGACGGGGTCAGATGGAATCTTTGAGCAGGACATCAGAGCAGGTACTAACAGTAATGTAAAATGTAATAGTGGTTGTACCAGTGGTTTGTGCTCTGAAGGTATAGGCTTACTGTGATTTATGAACTTGTTATACAGTTATCCTTCCTGTCTATATCTAATGTTAGTAAATTATGTTTTTATTTTGTCTTATTTTAATTCCAGTATAACAATTTGTTTGCATCTGTGTTTTATATTTCAAATATATATTTTAGAATATCCTTAAAGTCCATGAACTTATGGGCTTAGCATTTCTAAAAGCATGATTATTACACAGTTTTAATCAGCCACTACAGTAGGCCTATTTTTTCTTCATTTCCCCAAGAGTATTTATCTGAATATATATGTTATATGTTCCATTTAATTTATTAAATTGACATGCCACGAATCACAAGTATTGCTGTAGGTTTATAAGAGTGGATAAATAGCGATGAAATTGGCAGGAAAGAAATGAAAAGACCCTTTTGTCTGGTATTCAACCTACAGGCATGTCTATGTATACTGAATCAGAAATGGTGTCTGTTGAACATGATATCAAAGATTTTTAAGAAATCAACTTGGCAATTTCTTGCTGAATTTTCTGTCTCCCATTCCTGTTGTAATTTTCTGGAAGGTGTTATGGCGCATTTGCTGAAGCAGCTGCTCGATCCGCTTGGGCTCGTTGACTCAGATGAAATTCGACAGATGATGACTGCCGCAGCAACCGAAGCAGCAGCTAATGAAGGAGAAGTAACTGCTCAGAGCGCCAAGGAGTTCATCAAGGCCGTTATGGAGGGTGATGTGAAACGGGTTGCTGAAGCCCTCAAGAAAAACAAAGGATTTGTAAATAATTTTTTATATTTTATTACGTAATTTCGTTTGAACTTGATGGTATATGCTTTATCATTTGCAATGTGCAACGCCATATCGTTGTATAAAAATGAATTTACATTGAAAGGCAGATTATGTCTTACTAAGTAGCATTTTGTAGGACTACGACACATGGATAGGTTGGTTCTGCTACAGATCACACAAAATATCACTCCTTTCCTTTTCTATATTTCTATCCCAAATGGTAATTCCTCCTCACCCTCTATTTCAATTTCTTTTTTTAAACGTACGCCAATCCAATAACGGCTCCTTATTTGCTCATAGATCATTGTAATATGTTTGTTTACACTCTTTGCACAGGTAAATGTGGTTGTCCAAGAGAACACACCCCTCCATCTAGCTGCTTATCAAGATCACTTTCAGGTAGTCGAGTTACTAATCAAGAATGGAGCCAAACTCAATGTCAAAGATGACGATGGTGACACTGCCCTAGCAAATGCTGTCCATCAGTGAGTTCAACATTCAATTATGAATAATCATCATAATACCTATCAAGGCACTAATGTCCTTTGGCAAGACATTAGTCTAATTCTGCCACTATTCACCCAGATTAAATAAACAGTTGGTTGGTTGGAGGAAATAATTTTAATGCTTTGAGCGCCATATCATGGTTGATTGGGTAAAGACAGAGTAATAGTATTAATAAATAAAATCTAATAAAATGAAATCTTACTAACAAAATATGATTGCAGGAGAGAGAACGGTATTAATTCCAATGAGGCTACCCTGGGTATTAAAAAAAACCATTACCATTACCATGGAAATAAGTCATGGTTTAAATTTAAATCACTACTTGAAGAAGATGAAGTTTATATCATTTGATATTTTTCATCTCCAGCCCTCTGGTTCATGTCAAATTTGCCTTTGCCCAATATGTAAATCGAAGTGGTAGTCAACACATGGTTTCCTAAATGGATGTACTCACACATGATGAAAGCAAATTATAATCACCATGCATTTGTGGGTTTTCTTTTTATTGAATCTTGGTTTATATTTGAATTGATTTTGGAAGAGATAATGCACGAATTGTGAAGTACCTGTTAGACCACGGATCCGACCCCAACACTACGAATGTCAAGGGAGGAAGAAGTCCTCTTCATATCGGGGCGTCGAAGAACCATACTCAGTGTGTGAGACTGATCCTTGGAAAAGGTGGTACTCCAAATGCACAAGTAAGATATATTTCATTGTCTCAATGCCACAATGCTGCACAACAAATCAGGATTTTTTTTTTTTTTTATTTGTTATGAGCAAGAATTAGACATAAATAAACTCTCTGAATGAAGAAGTCTGATGTCCACACATTTATATTGAGTTCATGTTATTTTGAATAGAAACTGATTTCAAGTTGATTGGATACTGGCGCATTATGTTGTACCATGCTTATAGACAGGTAAATAATTTTATTTTATGTTATGCAGGTGTCTCCTAATTTACTGTACATTACAGTGGTACATTGTATTCTGGCATTAGGAATTCCAAATGTTGATAGGAATTAAAAAAAAAACATATACAATTTCAGGACAATGTTGGAAACACCCCTTTGCATGACGCTATCCGAAAAACACAGAAGGAGATTACTGAGCTCCTGATAAATGCAAGAAACATCGACTTGGAGTTGAATAATAAAAGAGGATACAACCTGCTACATCACGCTGCCTTGACAGACAATCCACAGTGAGTTTTATAATTTAAGAATTCAAGAATACCTCACGGTGCGACACCAAAACGATTTAGATTTGGTGACTAAAATATGATAGATATTAAACTGGTATTGTTTGAGCTTATTCATTTACTATCTCCATACATGTGGTTTTTCTAATCTTTTTCTGTGTTTTCCTTGCTCCTTTTGATTCATTACAACCTGCAAAATTCAATAATATTTTCGACATTTAGTTCTACTAATCTGATCTAATGCTCTCAGATTTTAGGTTGGTAGGCACTGGCGTACTGGTGGGGGGCTTTGGGGGCGCTAGCCCACCCCCCCAGACTCCCACTCCCAAATAAAATTAAACCGTCCATACAAGTGATTTATAAATGTTCGTGATATCACAAGATTTTCAACAAAATGCGCGTTTCTCTATTTCTGTTGCAAACTGACACATTCTCAAATAGCCAGGAAGAGCATATACTGGGCCTAATAATTAGTGGCCACCAGGCGCGTACGCAGAATTTTTTGGAGGGGGGTTTTAAAATTTAAAGTCGGCCGCTGAATAAGCGGGAAGAGGGGAAGGGAGGGGGAGGGGGGAGGGGAGGTGGTGGTAAGAGGACATTTTTTTTGTGTGTGTGTGTCTCAAAATTTTAAAATTTGGCCAGTCGATATTTCGTTTTGTTAGGGGGGAGGGGGAGGGGGGTTTGCTCCAAAACCCACACATAAAAAAGCTAAGGGGGGGGGGTTAACCCCCCAAACCACCCCCCCCCCCCCCCTGCATATGCGCCTGGTGGCCACTAACAATAACACTAGTAGAAAATTCCTTTCCAGAAGCTACTGCGACAAGCACTGCCGGGAGATAACATGCACCACTCGGGCGATTCATGCACAGATTCCACGAACGAACGTTCCATTAGGCGCGGATCCAGGATTTCTCAGTGGAGGGGGCCCAACCTTTTTTATTACTCCCGAAAATTTGAAAATCGCGCCGGCCGAAAAATCGCTCAGTAGGGGGGGGGGGGGGGGGGGGGGGGGGGGGGGGGGGGGGGGAATGAGCACTTTTTGTTTTGGTCCTCGAAAATTCAAAAATTTGCACCCCCCCCCCCCAAAAAAAAAGGGTAGAAATCATGTGTTTTTACATGATTTTTTTCTCAAGGGGGGGGGGGGGGGGGGCCGGGCCCCCCCCCCCCCCCCCCCGATCCGCCACTGCGTTCCATACATACATCATGTAAAACTGCACGTGTACTGTTAAGGGGCCCAGTGGGGATACTGAATTCAGACAAGGATTAAGAGTAGAGAACGGTACAACAAATCGTCTTCTTTCTCTAATAATTTAATGAAACGGCAAAGCTTCCGCGCAAAGGGGCAACTGAATTCAGATAATGACACGACACAACAAATCGTCTTCCTTGCAATTGTCTAATAATTTAATGAAATATGAAACCCAATTCCACGCTATGCACCAGAGGGGGGGGGGGAGGGAACTGAATTAAGGAAAAGATTAAGAGTTGAGAATGGTACAATGGATCGCCTTCTTTCTCTAATAATTTAATGAAGTGTCAAAGCTTCCGCGCGCGGCAAAACAAGAATTAAGAGTCGAGAACGGTACAAGGGATCGTCTTTTTTCTCTTATAATTTAATAAAGCTGGAGGGGGAAAACTGAAAAATAACTTAGTTCCTGGCCCCGGGTTTATACGGTTAAATATGTAGACATTAGGACATTGGCATTAATATATTTGTCGGTAATTGGTGGCTAGTTCTGTCGTTAATCATTATCGAAAACTTAACCTCAGGTTAAGTTTTTGAAATTTTTGTATAATTTTAAAAGTATAAGTTCTTATTCAATGAAACTTAAATTAAAGGGTTATTAAGTATCCCCAATCATGTGAGTAGTCTTTTAGGTGACATAGTCAAGATCTAGTGTACCGGTAATTTAAGGTCTGCAAACTTAGACTTTGTTGTGGTATCAACATCAAGATTTTGAATTTTTAGCATAATTTCAAAAGCGTTTGTTCAAATTCCATGAAACTTGTACACAGGGGTTATCAAGTATCACAAATCATATGACGCAAATTCCAGGTCACAAAGTGCAGGTCAAATGTCATTTTAGGTCAGTAGACTTGGATTATATTTTCACAACTTAATATGAGAATTAATAAATCAATTTTTATTTATTTCTTAATATTCCATTAAAGTTATTACTCTTGGTACAAATTTCTTCTGATGATTCTTAGCCAATATTCACTTCAAAATGCTGATTTTATTCAGAGGATTTCCTTCTTTTTTTTTGGGGGGGGGGGGCCTGCTAATGGGCCACCCTGCCTATAAAATAATGTCCCAACCTCAATTTTTCATCATATCGAATTGCGTAATGCAGGCTAGACCACCGAGAGCATTTCCTTGTTTACAGGAAGTGCCGGTGGACATTAATGCGCCGAATGTGGTTCTCAAATTGCAAAAGATCCCTACTCTTTGAGGGGGTAGGAGAAAGCAATTTTACGTCATATTAGTCTAGGAAGTGCCTGAAAATGCATCTAATGTGGTTCTAAAATTGCAAATGCTTGGTCGCTCCGCTCCCTCGCCGCTAAAGCCTCGCTCTGTCGCCTCATCGTTTTACATATATTTCACTCAATGCCATTTTATGCCCCCCCCCCCCAGTAAGAAATTTGTGGATCCGCCACTGATGGCCATACCCCTTCACCTTCGGGGGCTCCGCCCCTTGACCCCCGCCGGAGCTTTGTCCCTAGACCCCACTTTGAAAAACGTTCAGCGGGACTCGCATGTAAGAGTGGGGTGCTGCAGATTTTTTTTTTGTTCATTACGCCACTGTTGGTAGGTACGAGCGATTTTGTATGTATATATACCTCATGACTGGCCTGGGTTATGAAAAGGAATTATTCCATATTTTGTATATAAAAGCCCCGTTTTAATAGAACTTTTTCGACAAACCTCACCCGGGTAGGTTACCATAAGACGGGGTTTAAACCTCACCCGGGTAGGTTACCATAAGACGGGGTTTAACATGTGTTTTTATTTAGTTGATATTGTGTCCCATTTTTAAAAACTCTAATAACAGAGATACTGAGACTGTTTGTCCTGTAATTAAAACCTTAAATATGTTTTGTTGTGGTTTAGTGCTACTCGTCTTTTGATCAAGAAACAAGGATCTCTGGTTGACATCCAGAAGGATGACGGCTACGCGGCTCTTCACCTCGCAGTACATATGAACAATCGGAATATTGCAGAAATACTTATCACAGAGGTATTTCCCATCTCTTTTTAAACCTCTTTTTTGCCGCATACTCTGTCAGTATGATGAAGAGTCTTGCTGCAGACTTGCCGCATACTCTTTCAGTATGATGAAGAGTCTGCGGCAGGTCTGCCGCAGACTTGCTGCAGACCTGCCGCATACTCTTACAGTATGATGAAGAGTCTGCGGCAGGTCTGCCGCAGACTTGCTGCATACTCTTTCAGTATGATGAAGAGTCTGCGGCAGGTCTGCCGCAGACTCCTTTATTATGAATGTTCATAGAAAAGGCTATAACAAAGAGTCTGCTGCAGACCTGCCGCAGACTCTTCATCATGAATATTCATATCTCATATAGACCTGCTGCAGACCTGCCGCATACTCTTTCATATCCAGTACGTGGCAATTAAGTATGCAGTCTTGCAGGAAGGCTATGCTGGAGATTGGAGAGCATGCATTGCATAATTACTTGAAGCAAATTGTTTGGTTTGACAGAAGCTAAAAAGACAATTGACAGTGCTAATTATCACAGGAATTTACAAGATCATGGGCTCAGCCTGCAACCTCATGGCCCTGCATGTCCTCCAAAATGGCCGCCTATAGCCTTGCTTCAGACTGTATAATTTCCCACTTCTCGACTGTTCCTGTGGCATACTGGTATGCGGCAAGTCTGGGGCAAAGTTTCATCCTTCCGCAGATCTGCCGCAGACTGTTCCTGTGGCATACTAGTATGCGGCAAGTCTGGAGCAAAGTTTCATCCTGCCGCAGATCTGCCGCAGACTGTTCCTGTGGCATACTGGTATGCGGCAAGTCTGCAGCAAAATTTCTTTCTGCCGCATACTTCGGCATACTCTTTGCCACAGACTAAAAGTCTGCCGCAGATCTGCAGCAGGTCTGCGGCAGATCTGCGGCAGGTATGCGGCATATTTTTCACTTTCCTATGTTGAGATACGTTATCAGAAAAGCTGTAAAATTAAAGTTATTTTTTTTAGGCAAAGCAATAGCCATGGCTTCAAATTTATGGACTTTTTTACATAGTTTGGGAACAACAAACTGGCTCTGTTGCTAAATAATTCACCCACTCTCATCTCCCATCTCTCATTTTAGTACGTCTCGTCTGTTGTTCCGATCGTTGCATCTCTTATGTCTAGTTTACATGTGTAGCCCTCGTCTTTTGTAATAGTAGGGTAGCAAAATAGGGATGAGATGAGATGAGATGAGGAGATGTGTGATGGTTAAACTCATGACACGGACTGCCTTTTATTAAAGTAATAATATATTTAAAACATAATTGAATATTCGTATTCAAACAAACAAAGTCACATAATCTAAACACAAACAAACTACTACAGTTCCTATCCTACAAATATATAGGTTTACATCCAAACTTAGCCATTAGACGAAATAGCAAAGTTAATATCAACAACATATCCGTTTCCAATATAACACAGACTTATCATCCACTAGAATGGATTATATTCCTCACTTAAGAAATCCCGCCATCTGATTGGTCGAAATTGCATTCATAAACTTTAACTATTCCTGTAAAATTCCCGGTAAAATTCCAAACCCATGTAATAGTTCTAAAATAATAGTTCTAAAATCCCAGTTACCATGGTTACCGGGAAAATAGTTCAGTCTTGGTGAAATATCCATAGGTTCACATGTTAAAAACTGGTTTGAGCGATCGAGGATACCGTACGTGTGCGAAGAATTGGTCGGTGATTTCAAACCGAAGGCAAAAATGGCTGAAGAAACTCTCCCAAGATTTCAACTTCTTGATGATGATCAAATGCAAGACTTGCTGACAGCAGGGACATGCTAGACAGAGCACCAAAAAGGGTAGGTTAAATTCTCCATAATGTTTTTTCAAAAGTCTAGGCCTAGATTCTAGTAAGTAGGTCTAGTAGTTCTAAAATCCTTCCCGTAGAGATTGCACGGAATTCAGATTGTACACATCCCTATGCATTGGCATTGCGCACTGGACTTGCATTGCAGTATGCATTGGCATTGCAAACTAATATTGCTTGTGATTCTGAAGGTGATACTCAATAAGTGAGCTGTCATATGAAAGCGCAGGTTCTTCTCCATATTCCCCACATTCCTCACAGGGCCGGCCCACCCCCAAAATTGTAAAAATATTTTGCTTAGACTAGAATCTACATCTAGTCTACTCTCAAGGTACAAGATACACTCATAAAAAACAACCGTGCAACTAAAATAGAGAAAGGCCAAGGTGGTGTCATAAGTTAACTCTTTTGTTTTCGGCATATAAAAGTATTAATGACTGCTTTAATATTCGAGAAATAGTAACTGCATGGTCCTCCATAATGGCCGCCTATAGCCTTGCTTCAGACTGTATAATTTCCCCCTTTTCTGTGGCAGACCTGATACCTGATATGATAAAAAGGTATTATCTTACCCTTACCTCACCGAAGACTCCTTAAGGAATTCCTTCATTTCTCTTGTGGCGGAGGCAATCTGACTTTCTCGTGTAATGGCTTTTTTCTAAGGAACATTTAGCACCTGCCAGACAATGCTATGAGGAATTTTGTTGAATTACTTCAATGATATCTTGACTCTTTATCAGTAAGTAGAGACTCCGGTCATGTGGTTATCCTGTACTACAGTCCCATTCACTCACTTCTGTGTTACTTGGCAATAACGGCATACTATGCCAAAATAATGACCACTGTTTGATTCGTACTACGAGTATCTAGAGGAAATATCTTTCGGGACACAAATATCTTAATTTATCACAGCTTTCCTACTCCAGCAGTGCTCTAAGATTAACATTTGCTATACACTTTAGATTGTGTCTTGTCATCTTATGATCTTGTTCTGTAATTGCTGATTGGTGAAACGCTTTCTGTACCAATGCCCAACATGGCTAACAACACGCGTGGCTCCAAGGTGGATGCAGCACAACTTGTCCAATCTGTCTTGGCTGATATTGTCGGTGATGACAGGTTTATTGACCTAGTGAAAAACCACATTGATAGCCGGCTGACCGAGATGCAGGTGACCATCGACAGGAAGGAGGCACGGCTTATTGCTATGGAGCAAAAGGCCCACAAGAGCGAGTGCGATCTGAGGGAGGCCATTGACCACCAGGAGGCTAAGTTCATGGATCTGCAAACTGGTGCCCAGAGTGCTAGCAAGAAGCTTGAGACCTTGGTTGCTGCTTCATCCCGAAAAGATGAGCAAATTAAGTTGCTGAAGAGGGGGCTTAATGCCCAGGAGCAGTACTCCCGAAGAAGCTGCCTTCGTATCTTCGGGATCCCTGAGCGCCAAGATGAGGTCACTGACCAGGCAGTCATTCATCTGGTGAACGACTCACTTGGTGTTTGTCTCGAAAAGCATGACATCGAGAGAAGTCATCGCCTGAGAGTCCTGCCGAAACATCCAGGAAAGGCCAAATTTACCTGCGCCAATTATTGTCAAATTCCAATCATACAGGAAGAGAAGTGAAGTTCTGGCCAGCAGACGTAAGCTTGCCGGCACACGAAAGTCGATTCAAGAGGACTCGACTAAGAAAAACGCGAGGCTGCTGAAGGCGACCCAGGACAGTAAAGAGGTCAGGGCTGCGTGGACCAGGGATGGGCGAGTTAATTATTGCCCTTGTCCCTGCCACAAACGGCAAAGAACTAAAAAGGACGATCAACTCTCTCGAAGACTTGAACAATTAACAGTGAACTTACTAGTTACTACATTGTCTTGCCATGGTCAGATAACCATGTCTGGTTTTAAGTGTGCTATTTATGTACAGTTTGTACTTTGTTGACATGCTTTGCTTTTTGTATCTTGTATCTTATATACTTTTTTTTTCTTTCATTATGCTTGATGTTACAATTTTCCTTGTTTTTCATTGCCCTTCTCTTCATTCCCCATTTCTGAGTCTATCCCAGTTTCCTTTTCCCCTTTCCCCTTTTCTCAGTACCCTACATGAATTGCTAAATATGAGTTTATTTCACCTTATGCAGTTTTTTTTGGTCACGTTTTCTGCTTTCTTGCATGTTTGTTTGTATTGCCAGCCACCTACTATACAATACTTTCATGTAATGTTGCACATCAATATGGTATCAATAAGTATCAATATGGCTCAAATGGATGATGAAATTTGTAGATTTTATGAAGACAATATGAGCAATTTATGTGACGGTTATGATATCCCTAATGTTAATTGTAATTATCATACAGAAGATCATTTTTTTTAAACAGCATCTAAATATAATCATGCGAACAGTGGCTTAACTCTTCTTCATATAAACATGCGTAGTGTTTGTAGGAATTTTGACAAAATGTTATTCATTGATAATATCAATCTAGGACGTGTAATACTTGGTGTCACTGAGACATGGTTTACGAGTGAAGCCTATAGGAGCCTTTTTTCTATTTCTGGTTTTAATCTTGTTAACAACAATAGACAAAGTAGACGTGGAGGAGGTGTTGCTTTGTATATTCCTTCCCAAGTAGAATACCGGATACATCACGATCTTGATATAATGTCAGATCATATAGAAACTATCTTTGTTGAGATTGATAACCCTGGTAAAAAGAATCATTTTATAGGAGTTGTATATAGGCCCCCAAATGGTAACTTTAATGATTTTGTAAATGAAATTCAGTCAATTTTAGACAATCCACTTTTAGTTGGAAAGTCACTCTATCTTATGGGAGACTTTAATTTGAATTTATTACTTTGTAATAACGATAATCGAATTGATGTTTTTCTAAACATCGTTCGTTCGTGTCTCCTTAGATCAAGATAGTTATGTAAAGTTCCTTAATTAAAAGTAAATTAAATTAAATTAAGTTCTTCCATCGCTCGATTGCTGCAATGGCCGTTTCATTAACAAGGGACAGGTCTTCATCTGTGCAATCCGTTCCGCCGCACTGCAAGAGGTGGTCCATCGTCTGAGTCTCTCCGCAGTCGCAGAGAGTATCTCCTTCATGGGCATAGCCCCATCTTGCCATATTGACCTTATACCGTCCCATTCTCGTCCGCATTCGAT